TGTGTGTGTGTGTGTGTGTGTGTGTGTGTGTGTGTGTGTGTGTGTGTGTATCTATGTATGTATGAATATAGGTAGAAACTAGTAGTTGACATTTAACTATTAAAAAAATACTTGTATATAGAACACTTTCAAGTTAAAGATATCAGAATAAGAAACAAGTATAACATTTTATACTTATGTAACAAGGAAATTTATACAAAATACAACCGCTTATTGTAGTATACTGCAAAATGCTGTAAATATTCTATAAACAAATTTATAAATTATACAACACATTTCTTTATTGTCACCATGACATAGGTATATACAGAAAAATAAATCGAATAATGTCAAATACAAATCGCTTGAAAACTATTGTAAAAGTGTACAACCTAATAAAAAGTATTTAAATAACTTTTATTAAAATATTCAACAAGTCTGTTATTTTTTTTTTTAAGTTTATTTATGTCAGACAAAAACATAACTTGGTACTTCAAATGATTCGATTTTAAGGTATGACTATTATTATCTTTTTGATTAACACGTAAATCAATTTTTGTTGTTTCAAGTACAGAAAAAGTATGTTTAAGCATAATATATTTTGTCGAAATGTGAATTAAATGATTAAAATATTTATATTTATACTAATTAAAAATAAAATAAAAACCGATATGTATAATCAAAACTTAACTTTGTATACTACGCAATAAACGATGGCAGCCGAGGATTAGTATCGTTCACACAGATCCTCACTGTCGGTTATCCAAGAAAAAAAAATCAAAACTTTATTTCTATAATAACGTCGAGAACCCAAAAAAGAAAATTACCTACTCAAATATTTTTAAAGAGTTAAAAACTAATATTTCTTAGAAGTGAAAAGTGTAGAAAATAGATTATTATTGTAATATTTTATTACAATACCTATACTCTTATCGTGTGACATTATATTATGTTTACACGTTGTGTGGGCCATACTTCGATTTACTCGTACGAACAATCATTTCTTCTCGTACAATAAACATGATGCCATGTATGCGTAATACATGTACAATACAAGATTTACTATGTATATAGGTACATACACACACATACACACAATCCCTTAATAAATTGCCGATTGCCGCTTTAAATCTTCTTATAATGTTATAAATAGATACGCAATCAATGACGCCATTATAAAATAATAAATGACTAGACTTCAAATAACTTGATTTATTAGAATCCTGCTATGTTTTGTTTGCTATGTCAAACGAGACCGCTCTTGATATCACAATTTCGGTACATTCATTTTTTTTCACAAGACACAAGAGAGAAATCCTTGTACGACTCGGCTTTACGAACGAACAAAAACTGACCAACCATATAGCGAATAATACTAATATTATATATGTCATAGGCTATATAAATAATTATTTTTTTGGCAAAAGACTAGACTCTTTGCAATGGGGGTAGCCTGTTTACTGCCAACTCCAATTATTATGACTAATTTCTTATCGCTGTTTCTGTATCATTTTTTCTGCAGTCAATATTCCAAAAGTAGATCTTGGACTATTAGACACTCAAAATATAATATTGGCAAAGTTGTAGACAAAAAGAAAATAATGTACCTATAATAGTTCAGTCTACATGTTACATAATATGATTAGTAATATAAAATAAAATTAGTGATACAATAGTCAAATAGTCAAATGATTATTACCATAAAATGATTGTAATTCTTAAAATGCCTAACTGATATTAGTCTGTATGCAATAAGCCTGAAAAATAGCAGGCTGTTTTGAAAAATAATAAGTGTAGTTCGCAAACAGACTACCCCATTACAAAGAGTCTAGTCTTTTCACAAAAAACTTATTACCCATATGGCCTACGACATATATATATACATAAATAATAAATATATATATATACACATAAATGAATGAGTCAATTGCGTCTTTACAATGATATGTGTATAATATATGTACGATAATATAATATTAAAACCGTCTGCATGTTATGTGTAACAATAAAATGTATTACAAAGTGTACAAACCCACTGAATCTTTGAATATATAATGTATAATATAGTAGCATGCATATATTTTATTCACGGTAAAAATTTCCGATTAAGCACAGTTCCTGCAGATAACCAAAAAATAAATATTTTTTAAACATTATACTACTTAAACGAATCTATATTTTCAAAATGTGTATAATGACACATATTTTTTTATTATGCACAATTTATTAACTTAGTAATTATCATATACATTTTGAAGGATTTTGAATAAAACGAACTTAATTATTCCCACATATTTCAACACATATTATAGGGACCTATTCTTTCGATAACAATTTCAAATTATATTTTAAGTATTAAGCATTAACGAATAACTTAGAAACTTTTAATAATTGTAGTGTAAGTAGTGTAACTAATAAAAATATTACATATTATAATACATTAATATATATAATAATAATAATAAAGTATTATATGGTGATTCACGTATAGATAATTTATTTTCAAAATCTTAAAGATTTGCACATAGTAGCTTTTTTAAAATATATTTTAAATTTAGACATTAAACATAATTATTATATTTTATACTTAGTTTTTAATTTTTTTCTAACAAATTTTGATATAGCTAAAAGAAAATCCTAGCCTTAGTCTATTATATAATTAAATAATAATAATTTAGGAGTAAAATAAATTATATTTACACACGGTAACAACATTTTAAAATATTATGTTAACCTAATCTAACACACTAATATAGGTAAAATATTTAAAAAACATAAAAAAAACATATAGGTATATAAGATATAAAAAAAAGTTACACAGTTTCTTTAAAATAATTTTACGCTGGTCACCAAAAATGTCAATTTCTCTTACAAACATACGGCTCCATTAACTTATAAGTCATGGGGTGAGTGTAACAATACCGATCCAATATATGGAACGTACTCGACATGGTTTTTAACTTAAACGGCGTAAACAAGCAACAACATAGCAATTTGTTCTTCGAGGGTGACCATTGAAACCAAAAATAATTCACTATCCTTTGACTACCTACGTATATTACACTGTATATTGCTAAATTTCTATATTATTTACATTGTACGGGTAAACCACAAGTGAGGTTTGTAAAAAAAAAAAAATATGACAAGTACCTACTACCTCGATCCATAATAAACAACTTAATTTTTAAGTGATTTTTAACGTATGTAAAAAATATTTTAGAAAAAAATTATCTAATAAACCATTTGCAAGTTATTATAACAGACATAATTCGAGTGCAGCAGCGGTTAGGTCCTGTTTTCTTTCTATCACATACTAAAATTTTGATTTATCGGTGGATGTTGGATATGTAATGTGTATTATAAAATATTTCTTAAAGCCTTAGATTTATCCAAATAAAATATAGATTATTACTCATTTAGCTCAGACTTCAAAATATTTGTTTATAATGTATTAATTAGCTACGATATACAATTTGGTCATAGTGTCATTTATTATTTGAAATAATAAATTTTATTATTTTTACATTACGTTTTATATGTTATTACATTGGTAATCAATTTATATTATTCATTTATATTAAAATAATTTTAACAACATTAATTTTTAAATATTTTAAGTCCGTTTTCTATGTACTATACTTATACCTACTTATTTTTTAATAGGTACACAACACAATTACAGCACAAAACTTGTGGACTGTGGTAACTATTTATCATATTCTAATTTTATTTACTATATGAATGGTATATTATGAATGATAATAACTTATTAGTACCTAGTGTAATCTATAAAAATATGACCATTTTAAAGTATATTTTCTGTGTTTTGCATTTTAAATCCATCAGAAACTTCGCATAGATAGAAAACTCGTGTTTATGCACATATAGGGTAAACATCTTTGATGAACATGAATTTTTAAATTTTTTCCCCAATTTTTTGAATCTTAGAGAGAATGAATAAAATCATTTGCATCCCTTCTACTTAACTATGTTTCTATTTGTTTCCTCTATATAACACCACTATAATAGCACGATAGCTAGGTACTATAATATAAAGGTACCCAATGCACTATAGAGAAAACGGCAATGTTTTACCCGCGTCATCGTAATTTGATTCCTGTCGTTCATACCGATTACAACGACGGTGACCTAATATTTTCAACGACTATTATATGGCTTTTTACATACTATCTTCTCGTCAGTAATTGTGGTCGATATAAAACAATAATAACGCGCTCGAGCAAACATAATATAATATAATATTATAATATATAGTCCGCTGCACTGCATTATATACTCGTATTAAAACCGAAATACATATTTTTTACCTGTACCTGCTACATACAATGTAACACAATAAACGCTTAAGCCTCGGCTGTGTATCCTATAATATTATTATATCATAAATTCATAACAATAATAAATGGCCGGTATATAAGCACCCCTCGTAAAATATGTTGAATCCAAAAGGAATCGATTCATGTTTTTACCAATTCAAAGGACATAATGTTGGTTTGACCATGTCATATAACTCATATATCAACTGATGTTCTATCGTATGAAATTCGACCCGTTCGAATTAAATCTTTTATTATTTAACAACAATGCAGTGTAAAACTGTTTCGGTTTACCTTAAAATTGTATAACCTTTAGTGACCTGAAGGTAGGTGTGTGTCATAACACTGAAACTTTCTACTACTACTACTACTACTACTACTACAAAAAAAAAAAAACTACGTTTTAGTGTGTGAAACCTTGACCATGGTATCATGATCACTACACAAAAAAAAGCACGAAGGATGCCAATTATAACGAGTCCCTGTAGTGAAGGACCGGCGATTTTTGTTTTGAGATTGAAAGAGATTTATATTAGAACTTAAAAGGGAAATAAAATAAGTATTATACAGTATATAATAATATATTATAAAGTGAATAAAATATATATTTGATATAGATATATATTGACCGCACAGAGTACCTAGTCATTAGCGCAAATCGACGAACAATTATTATTATTTAGTTCAGTTGGATACAAAATTATATATTTAAACGGCTAAGGGTAAACATAATAAACAATAACGAGAAGAAAATCAAATTATTAACGTACCATCCAAAGTATACGCATTTTCTATTTATGTAAACATTTTATTATAAATTTATTATGTCTTTTTATTAACACAAGTTCGAACTCATTAAAAAATATTTACACAGCAGTTATTGTAAAATCGACACTAATATAAATAATAATATTAGAAAATTCAAAATAAACATATTACCCAAATGACATGCACAATTTTTGGAGATAAGAAATAAGTACCGATCAGGTCAGAAATATTAGTGGTCGCTGATATTCGTATATACTATTATAATTTTATGTTTTGTGTTTCACACATGGCAATGATATGTGATAGTGGTTGTCACTGCGGTGGATAACCTCTTTTGAACCGAATGATTTATTATTCTCATTTTAGTATCGATTTCGTTATCGACGCAGCTTTTCCCTCGGGTAAATACAAATCGAGTATTCGAGTATTCCGCCGAACCCGATGACCTGTATTATGTCTTGGCGTATTTTTTCACTTGAGCACAATATGAAGGATACACACGCAAAACATGTGGCGCGCAGTAGCTGCGTCTGGTTTGTTGCTTAAACATTCATATCGACCGATACATCTCGAGAGATAAGATCATTTTGAAAACACGCCTTTCAAATGAACGTGTCGTTTGACGCATATATGGTTACATTCGAAGAAACAGAGTTCGTTCGTCATGACATTTTATCGTTTTTACAAGAGCCATTACTATTCGTTTTCCGCGATAACATTCGATTTCGCGAAATCTGCGGCTCCCAAGTCTGCAGAGACGCGTAAACGAAAATATTTCCCGGCCATTTACTATAATGTGTAATATTCGTATTATTATGTTAAAATTAAAAACTCAGTGAATTTTTCATTTTATTTTTTCACTTTTTGCATATCCACTATTGTAAAGGAAGAAAACCTCGCACCGAATCACTTTTTACGTGAAAATAAACGGCGGTTGTTAATGCACTTTAATTGTAAATCGCATTATCCACGGGCTCTTTGACTTTTTAACCGCACCGCGAATCCAATAAACTCTATCATTACCCGCCCCGTTGCCCTTTAAATTCGATGACAAATAATAAATTACGTCGCTATTATATTACGCGTGGCTGGTAGGGCGACGGCGGAAACGGCAAAAGTCGGACCGTCACCCGAGTGTAGACCGATTGATTTATTCCGGATGGACGGACGACATCACTCGGCAGTGGCCGGCCGGGGGCGACAGTCGGCGAATCGCGTATGAAACGAAAAGGATAATGCGATATAATATCTATATCCTAAACGTTGAAACGACCGAGATCGTCAGTTTTGGGCTTTGGCGGTGGGGTAAGTGCAGAGCGCACGGTAAAGTTATACTACCCCGAATGCCGCCGTCGCGTAACCTTATTAACCCCCCATCATTCCACATCCTCCCCCGACAACCACAGTATCAGAACTCAATACATCGTGTAATTTAATAAATTGTTGCAGCATTTAAAGTTGTTATATACATATGATTATAGATAGAAATAAATACTTACATACGAATTTTTTTAAAGAGTCTGCAGACGACATATCGTCGTTTTCGCCGGTCTTGTAACATAGCGAATAGCTGTAAGGTAATGATCGAGTACATAATATGTTAATATTGTTGATACACTCTATATATATTTTTCATTTTTATTTTTTGGAGGTAATTTATACTTTGTACACATTACAATTCATACTTAAAAAATAAATTTAAGATTGTGCAAAGATGAGTGGTCAAAAATGTTGTATATATTATTTTAATAAAATGCTGACCAGGTATTATGTGGTGTACATAAATGACGTGAAAATGTACAATCTTTATAGATGTATCTTACAATTGCAAAGTATGTTTGAAATGAGAAAAGTTATAGCTAAAACTATAAAAAAACAATTTTAATTGATCCTAATGTATCCCATTGGCCAGCCGGACCGTTACGGTGCAGAATATTTTTTCACTCTTATTTTTGTATTAATCCATTCACTACAATATAAGCTTATTGTACATTTGTTATTGTGTAGGTTAAATATACCTTAAATTTATGAAAGAAAAACATATTACATTTTAGAACTTTAGAAGTAGTAATTTTATAAGAAGATTATTATGTATTGCTATACATTTAATATTTATCGTATTTTTTTTCATTGATATTAGTTTATTGTTGCATATAAAGTTGTTCTGCATAATCGAATAATTACATTGTAATAAAAACAACACATGTTACCAATAATTCAATAATTTATTTATAAAGTCAATATTTTATAAAAAATCAAAAAAAAAAGCATTATAATATATCATATCAAACAACTAACAATATTTTATTATTTTCTACGGAATTGTTTAGGAACACTTAATATGATATTTAATACAGATCGTGTTATTTAAACTAAATCTACTGTATTACTTATTATGTAACATAAGTAATAATTAATTTTAGCTGTTCATAATTGTGTTATTTGTTATTAATTTATTACAATGCACATATTTTAAAATTATAACTCATTATATATATTTACATAAATGTAATGAAAGTATAAAGCGTTTTAATTATGAAACATTGTTTATTGCCTAATTAAAGCAAAACAAATAGAATAATGAAATCATAATTCTACAATATTAATATTAAAATGAGCTTGGGATTAGTCGTTTCAAATGCAGAGTCACTGTGTGTAATATATAAGTTTACAAATTTGATTTTTGTTTTGAGTCTTTGTCTATGTTATATTGCATGTATATTCAATGTCGGTAATATCAAATAATGAGTGCCTTTTATTTTCATATGCAGTTGGAAACCCAAGAAAGCAACGGCGTGAACGAACCACGTTCACCCGGACGCAGTTGGACGTGCTGGAAACGTTGTTCGCCAAAACTCGATATCCAGACATATTCATGCGTGAAGAGGTGGCTCTGAAGATCAACTTGCCCGAATCAAGAGTACAGGTAATTTATTCATCTGGTTTCAAACTATTTTTTTTTTTAATGGTTTATCCCTAGAAGTCGAGTTATGTTATCAGTTTAGAGATAGTGTAGAGGGATAAGAGACAATATTCTAGAAAGTCAAGAAAATATTGGTAAATACTGGTGGAATTATAAGAACATTTTATACAATTACTATTTTCATCTTATCGTTTACGTTATAATATAATATTATATTGTATAAACAACAATTTCCACGTTCCAAGAAATATCATTAAAATAAAAAATATTTGAATGGTTTAACATACTTGATGTTTGATCAAACATTGTGAGACTTACCAAATAATTTAATCTATCCATTAATCGAAAATAAGTATATGAAAAATAATCCTCGGGAATGTGGACATTAATTTTATCATATTTCGTCTTCGGAATGAAAAAAATCGGTATGGATACCTATTATCTATTTAACTAAACAATGCTGTCATACAAAATTAAGTTCAAAAATAAAAACATTTTGAAAATCTTCTAAAGAATATAGTTTGCGGACAGCTGTATAGTGAAAATAATTTTTGTCGGTTATGGGATTTTATTGCCACCACAATTCTATCCTCTCGTCCCCCTTTTCGTGAAAACGATAAAGGCCGTTGCAATGGGCGATTAGGGCGGCGCGCGTGTGGCTGAATAACCTCCGACTGCAGCGACCGCGTAGAAGACCCTCCATCCCCATGGTATGTACTTTATGGTAGTGGGCGTGCGCCACTTGGGGAGGATAACTCTCGCTGTCCTTCCCGATCCTGTATATATATATATATGTGTGTGTGTGTGTGTGTGTGTATACAGCTCGTCCGTCATCGGTTAATCCCGCCTCCTATCCCAATTCTAACCACCCCTTCCAACACCGGTGTCGCCACGGGTATACTTTGAGTGAGTTCGTGAATAATCACCGCTTCGCACACTTCCGGTGAAAAATGACGTTATTTTCTGTCCTGTCGGTTATACGTCGCCATTGTAGCACATTTCCTTCCCCTATCTTCACTAAACTTTTGCTTTTTCCTCGTTCCAGACATACTTTTATATAATATGACGTAAACTGTGAAGCCGACCGAACACAACCGATTAAATTTTCTCTGGTTGAGGGTATTATTTTAATAATATAATATTGGGTGCTGAAGTTGTGAGCTTAATAGTTACTCTGTGCTGAGAAGATTAGTCATCTTAGTGGCTTTTATCGAATCAATTACACAAATTTGATAATTGATTCTATTTATTTTGAAGATGAGTAATAAGTTTTACAGTCAAGTCAGCGGGCATTTAAAATAATACTATTTAGCCTATAATGTTGTGTCCAATCATCCTAAATAATATAATGATCGATAAAGTGACACACGTTCGAACTTAAAAGTTGATCAGACGACTATTTCGGGTTCTCTAGAAAACGATTTGTGACTATAATGTACACAGCACGATTCGCGTCATCTCAATTAATCATTTGGACAAATGACAGAAACGAAGTCGCGAGTTCGACGGTCAGCAAATTTATCGCGATCGATATTTCATTGGGTATATTATAATGTGTAGCTTATTCGCAGTTTTTGTTATTTACACGCAAACCGGTCGGGTCTCCCTGTTCTCTCTCCGCCGCAGCTTGTCTCTCTTTCTCCCGCTGTCGCCACCGACCGTGCGACGACCACATACCTAAGTTTCGGTCCGGTTTTCAGGCGAAATAATAATATTATACTGAATTCGGTATATACTCACTTTTCACGGCCGCAACGGCGAGACGCGTTCGTGACACGGAACAATACGTATGCGCGGCCCGCCGACTGTTTAATAAAACATATTATAATGGGCGTGGGTATAGGTACTATATGTACTATAATATACAGTTTACCGCGGCTACTATATACTATAATATTCCGGTGCATACCCTCTGCCGCCTACCTTACACAATACTTATAATATTATATTAACGACGACCGAATATTCGTATTATTATTATTATTATTATTATAATATCGTGATAAAAACACATCTGTACGCACACGTATATTGGTTAGTACACGGTCGTAAAACCAATGTATCTCGTGCGAGGTCACGTTTTCCGCCCGCCGCGGCTGTTACATTATAAAGAGAACCGCCGCCGCGAAAAGGGATAGCTCCCGGAATAAATTGTCTTGATAAAATATTCGTTGCCGTCCCGCGCTTGTACAATATACATGACTTAAATTATAATATGTCGTATAATAATGCTATATATGCGCATACGCGGACGTTTTTCTTTACAACGATCATGATGCGTGTATAGCATAATAATAAATGCAATCACGTCATATCCAAGACGACAATAAATTCAGTATTGTATTATATTGTAGAGAGTGCGTATAGTAATAATTATGCTATATGATATATTATTATGTGTTATATTATACTATCAAATTATTATACACACCATGACGTGTGCGAAATTTCGAACGATAATTCTCTCGCCGACACCACTCGGCTGGCTATAAATCTATATATAATATATAGCTGCAAGTTTTTGAGCGTACGCTTGATTGCGTGTAAAACCGTCGTTTGCCAATATTGTTCAACCGTGCGCACGCTAAAAAAGTGCTTGCTTGTTTTATGTCAATTTACCTAAATGTTTTATTTCGTAACTGCATAATATTATAGCCGCTTTTGTGTTGCATTATTTTTACTCATCAATATAATATTATAGTATTAGATCTCAGAGTAGAATCCATGTAGTTTTTATATTGACCGATTTTTTTTTTTTTTTATTGCAATCGTCTACAATATTATGACTTGAAATTTACATGAAATCCTGCAGACCCGTGAGATAAACATTTACTATTATTGTACATTTCTACGCTATCACTTACTTATTAAATGCGTTTCGGTACTCCACGATTATTTAAAGTTTACATTTTTGAGGGTCATCTCAAAGTGTTCTGTGTCACTGCAGCAGTACCATTATTTCGAAGAGACGAAAATAAATATCTCTATATTTATTGAATTTTATTCGTTTTATTTTTTATTAGCAAGCCCCTTTGATGACAGCTTTGTTTCATGAAATATTTATGTAAGCAATTTAAAGTTGGTATAACCATTTAATATTTCAATATTGTACGTAAATTACAATATACATCAATAACTCGTCGCACAGGTCGCTATAAAAAAAAAAATATATAATAAAACTAAAACAATATTCTTAATAAGTATACTTTTAGAAATTGTCGCTCATATTATGTGTACGAATTACAATCGGCCGATTGCATTTGTTTCATCTTCTCTTCGATATATATTATAACGACTGGATATTATTAAACTCAGTGCATGTGGTTGAATTTTTTTGTCGGCGTACAACAGATAAAGAAACTAGGTTAACGCCAGCGTTGGAAATAAAATCGATACGCTTAGGACCTGGCAGTGGCGGTGACGGTGGCGGTGGTGGCGTCGGAAAACAGCAAAAGGTTTTTTGTATGTTTACACGACGCGTGGACGACCGAGACTCTACTACGCATCGGTCATCGCGCGTAATGTATAAGGCTTCGCGACGAACTTCTCGAAATTGATACGCGTATATACGTAGTATAACGTATACGGTGTGATAATCCTCTGCTGCCGCAGTGCCATTGGACTCATTAGAGTTAAGTTGTTTTGCGGGAAAACACCATTGCGTGTATATAATATATATGAACCTATATACCTACTCTTCGTGTTCTTGATACTTCGTTTTCCAGATATGTTTTCTGCCATATCCATTGAATTATCAAATATATATATCGCAATTGCTTTTTCTCAAACACACTATGTCGTGAGTCATGACGCAATAGCTAGAAAAAAACAAAAAGAAATAATAGGTAGAATAGTGAAACAAAATAGTTTTATATTTCTATCGTATATCTATACGAACTCGTCGTTATAGGTTCGGAAGCTTTGAACTTGCAACTCGTCAGGTCATCGATTAAAGGTGCGGGCTAACAAATAGCTACGACCGGGAGCGCGTCTGAACAGAAAATAAGATTACATCCTTCGACTATCGTTATATTTTATATAGGTTCCGCCTCATACCCGAATTTCGGTCTATCACTCCATTAGAGAATTTATTGCAATATACGGCTGATCTACATGGGCGTGATTGTGTGTTTCAGGTGTGGTTCAAGAACCGGAGGGCCAAGTGCCGACAACAAGTGAAACAGAACCAACAGCAGCACCACAACGGCACGGGAACGGACAAGACGGCGTCGTCTAGAAACAACTCGACCGGCAACAACGGTCCAAAATCGTCGGGGAAATCGTCCGGCGGCGGTGGCAACGCGCCGGTCAACAACAACAACAAAATGTCACCGACAATAAACGGCGGCGTAGGCGGCGGCGGCGGCGGCGTGGGTGGCGGCGGCGTTACGAGTTCGACGGCCGGCAACTCGCCCGTGTCTACCGGCACGTCGCTTTCGTCCAGTCGGCAGTCGCCGCCCGGCGGCGGTTCGTCGTACATCAAGCCGATACTGAGCGGCACGCCGCCCATACAGCCGCCGCCTTCCGTGTACCACCCGAGTTCCGGTAAGCAAACGATCGCACTCGCGGTGTTGTTAACGTAGACCCTTAACCGTTTACACCCTGCACACCCACACACTGTTCTGTACCTCTTCGGAGTCACGCGCCCTCCTCGTGAGGCTTCCCAAACCGACATCCTCGAGGGAACAAGGAGGTGTGATGCTGTGTGCGAGGACCGTTTTCCTTATATTGTACGCGTCCCGCGACACGATGAATCCCTTATCCCGCACGCGTATTGCAGTTTACGAACAACAATATTATTATTGTATAGGCGTGCCATCGGTTTATTTTTAATGCGTGTGGTGAGTTAACAATTCGAAAAGTGGGTGGCGTAGAAGGGGCCTGATGCGCGTGTAACTGCATAGTGACGCCCCGGGGACTTAATGTATATAGGGTCATTTATCTGGATCCGCCTACATCCGTACGAATATACATTAACCTACCGTGCTGAGGGATTTAAACGTTAAATTTGTTCTTAGCTTTTACTTGTTACGTTTCAACAGGTTAAACAACTATTTACCGATTTGCCAATAGTTTTTCCACTCAAAAACCGTTTTTTCTTCGTCCTTAGCTTTTTTCGCTATAATATTGAACTGTTGTAGACATCGATTCCGTCGTTCGTTTTCTCTTATCGGTACATTTCGACATATTTTATAATTATTATGCGCATTGATAAAGTTTTGAATTTTTTATCGTACAGGCGGCGGTGGTAATACGCCAGGATCGATATGGAGCCCCGCCATCACGGAACCACCACCGGGACTGGTGGACTTGCACCACCACAATACCAGGTCGTCTCCAGTAGGCTCTAGCGGAGGCTACTCGACCAACGGCAGTACTGGTGGTAATTGCTATTCGTCGCATCATCACCATCACCAACCGCATCATCACCATCCGCACCACCATCACGCGGCGGCGCATCATCACCAGAACTACGGCGGTTACTACTCGAACATGGACTATCTGGCGCCACCGCCTACAATGTCGTCACATCAAACAGCTGTGAGTTGACGTGAATTGGTTTTTTATCATTATATTATTTATATTTCGACTTAGTTAGACATTTTATTGCGTGTTTAATATTTTAAATTGGTTTTCTAAGTCTACAGTCGTCTAATCTAAGATTCGAAATAATTCGGTAGTGCCCTTACGAAATAAACCCCGATTATTATGGCGTTAGACATAAATTCTACCGTACACGCAATTATTTTAGGGAGGGAAGAGTCATGACTTCAGAAAGGGTAAAATCTAGATCTCTCGAATACCATGTGTACACAGTCGTAGGGGTGAATAAGGGTGTTGTGATATGTACCCAAAGGAAAACCAATCTCGAACGAGGGTGATGGTTTTGAGGGTAGTGGCAACGATGTTGAACATGTCGCACGTCGCGTGAAAACATGCATAAAACAAATACGATATGCAACTGAACGAGGGAGACTAGAGTAAATCCATTCTTGTACTCGTGATCACTGCGCGTATTAACGAGAAGTGTTTAATAAATAATTTTGTCACGCGTCGGATGTAAATGCGTACAAACATAAATAATGCTGCGCTTTTACTTGTGAAAATGCCAAACGCCCGTCACGTTCTTGCTGCAGTGTTGACATAGACAGTATTACACAGGCGCCTTGGAGATGACATATAAATACTAGTTAGAAATTGAGATCATGGTTGCCAAAAGTTTTTCTTAACATCGCGCCAAACTCTTTTCGAGTGTATCCACAATCTCTTTGGCAATTCGAACGACAGACTGCCACTAAGAAAACTAAGAGACCTGACCGCAGATTTTAAACGGTGCATTTAATGAACTTGTCTGTTGACACCCGAACTTAATATCTATTTAATTTTATAGCGTCCCCGATATAATATCCTCTTTAGTAGAGTATTACAGTGTATGCGAGTCGTATCCGCAATACTCGTAACAGTCAGTAGATTTATATATTAATTGATACTTTAAAAATATAATCGACGATTACAATAGCGGTCGTGCTCTGTTTGTGTTCACAGGAGAACGGTTCAGAGTCGGCTTGGGTGAAGCGCGAGGACACGTCGTCGTGGTTTTACAACTCGGCGGGCTGGGAACGCAAGTAAACAACCGGAACCAGGGCCGGAGCTGTCGCACGCCGCCACTTATGTTTTTCCGCGACGTTGCCGCCCGTCAGTCGTGGGCAGAGATGTATCTCTTCACGCGGCGGCTTATAATATTTTATAAGTTCTTGTAAATAAATTATCATATTCGCGCTGATGCCGAAGACGACGCTGGCAAACACACAACAACTGCCGGAAAACCACACATAAATACACATGAATGATCAATATGCCGACACATCATATTATTTCGACTCGTGTGCACACGTCAAACATCTGTAGAATATTACGATAATATAGTGTATAATAATATTTTATTCAGTGAGTACGCGTGCGTTTACTGCGTCGGTCCGTAAATCGATATATCGACGATAAGAAGTAAATTCAAGCAGAATATCAAGAAAACAGCTCTAATTCAGTATATTATACTAGTATATTAATTATTAATATGTTATCGTATTTAATATAGTGTGTGCGTGTAAGCGGTAACGCGTATAATATGACGTGTAATCATTCACGTAGTGCAGTGAAACCTCTCTCGCATACCTACATTAAATTAATGAGATGGACTTAATTTATTCCACCATTCGGTATCCCGTGAATAAACGCTTACATAAAAATATTATAACATTTTGGAAAACGATTTCTCAAGCACGTGACTCCCCCCCCCCCCCCCCCCCAAAAAAAAAAAAAAAAAAAAAAAAAAACACCTGGCCTCTTTCCACCCGCGCCGCCCCCCCCCCCCCCCCCCCCCCCAAAAAAAAAAAGAACGATAAATATCCTTTCTGATCGGTTTCGGCGCGATATGTCCACCCAACCACGATTAAAATAATATTAGTCGCAGTTTTTATAAAACATTTACATGTTACAACATTAAGACTTTATACACTTAAAGTATTTCGACATACAAACACACACACATATACGTTTCGTGTAAACGTTAACTTATTTAGGATTTTGAGTATACAGGGAAGTCTATTGCCTATTTATTTTCTCAGAGGTTTCACTGCGTTTATGATATAGATTAATGCGAATGTCGTGTGTATAATAAATCTTCAGTGATCTCGTTTAACTTGTTAATTTTCGATACAAACCGTAATTGTATTTTCTATAAAATCTTATCTCATAATATACGCGTAGATAATTCATCAACTTTCTTAAGTCATGCTAATCGGCCGATCGAATAATTTCGGTTATTATTTACCGCATAGACCAGTGCTTTTCAAACTTGCCTCCCCCTTAAATTTAATGTAAAACAATCAAGGCCTCTTAATCAAAATCATTAATTATTTTTTCTTAATTTTATACTAAAATAAATATTTCACGTCCCACCAGTCATATAGCCACGGCCCCCAGTTTGAGAAGCATTAGCATATACGATCTAAAATAATCTATTATAACCAACCAAAACAATGACCGAGTAATCTGCAATTAATGTTTATTTGCATTTGTGCGCTGTTAGATTCTGAACGGGTTTCCGAAATGTGTAAATAAAAATATTTATCCACTAGTAAAACACGTATCTCCAACGTAACAGTAATAAAAACCGTTATATCAATGACATTTTTTAATTGTTGTTGCGTGTATCGATTGTATGTAATACAATATCAATGCTGTATCATAAAGAAGAAATTTCTATTTTGCTCGATTATTAGAATGTTGCCGATAGTTCAATCGATTATTTATGAGCAAGTTGATAACCGATGATTTATTAAATAATTGCATAATCCCCCAGCACTATACGCGACCACCCCTCGGCCACACCCATAAACCATCGTATATGCGCGTACGGTCGTATATTATGTTATTGTCGGACATTAAACCGAACGCGAGATGATATTGTACACACGCTAATATAATAATATGACGATACGACAATCTAGAGGCGCGGTTTCAAGTTTTCAATAGGGGTCCCAAACACTCAATAATAAGCGAACTACTTTTTTTTTTCCCCCATCGCCGGGGGATTTGCAGTATGATAAAAAGGTTAAAAAACAAGGCTATTAGAAATCATTGCCACTATAATAATCTCTATGTGGTATTAAAACCATTTATTATTAAAATTGACTTTTCAACCATTGCACTCCTTATTAGCTTGCATATAATTGTCATAATTTGCGAGTGGGAAAATATTAATATACGTATAGACAACACATCAACGATGTTGCTCAACGATTGTTTTGCATATCCGGACTACAGGGAAATTAAATCACCCGAATATGACATACCGCGCCTATAATATCGTATTAATGGGGGTACACTGTGTTAGAAAAGTGTCAATTTTTTTACAAGGATATTTGGGCAATTCAAATAACACTCGGGTTTTTGTTTTGAAAATAAATTTTGTCTAATAAGTTAGATGTTATATAGGTTACATTATTTGATTTATTCCGGCCCAGGTTCTTTTGATTATGATTTTTTCAATTTCCTACCAATTATACGGCTGTTTATAGAGTTTTTTTTTTAATGTTATCAAATTGAATTATAAAGATTACAAAAATGAAATAATTGGAGTCCGCTCTACAATCATAATATATACATGAATGATAGGTGTATTAAATATTTTATTAGAAAGTTGAGGGCAAAAAAGTTCTAAGATTTATGATTGTTAAGAATATTTGAATATATTTATATATTATATAGTGTATTAGTCTATAATCTATTTAAACGTCTCCTGAAATGGTTTTTACAATATAAGTTGTTTTATCTTTGCCGTTAACAGCTTCTTTCAATTATTAAGATCCAGTTTTCGAAATATTAAGATAATCAAACTGCCCAAAAAATGTGTATAAAATCTACTGTTAATAAACTAATAAAAGTATTTTTCATTTTATTCATATGGAAATATTTAATGATTGTATATTTTCAATTTACAAAACTATATCAGTGTTTGTAGGCCGGATTCTAAATCTTAATAAACAATATTTGATACAACAATTTTTTTTTAATTTTTTTTTTTTTTGTGTTTTATTATTATAACTATTACTACTACTATTATTACTATTATTATTATTATTATTATTATGATTATTATTATTATTATTATTATTAATACTATTATTATATACATGTACATATTATATACGGTGTGAATTTGGGGAGCGATAATTTTTTTTTTTTTTGAAGGGCTTATCCCCCCTCTATAAAGCCAACCCTTGTATCCATCAAAATTCTACGCTCTCTAAAACAGCGCCCTTGCAACAAACTCGCGGGCCTATTATCAAAAATGGACGGACAAAAATACCAGATGTGTGTAACGCATAATCTTTTCAAAAACAAAAAAACAATCGGACACAAGAACCCGTCTAGTATTTCCTTCTCGTAGCCTGCATTTATTTTTTATTATTTCATCACCTTTACAATGATATTTTTTTGAACTGTGTTCAAAGCCATTTATTTATTTCTGTGCCTACCAAAATATATTCCGTTTTTATTAATCCCCAGATTTTCAAACGATCTTCAATCCAAAATCAAATAAATGTGTCATACATTTTTTACTTATAATAGCATTAGAAATAACTACTCAAGTAATATAACAAATAGTTTTTTTACAAATCATCATAACAGTTGGACATGTGAAAAAAAATTATTCTACTTCATCAGGAACTCGTTCAGTGATGCGATTAGAAATAAACTGAACTTTAATTAAATATAATACGTATATTATAGTTGCATCCTGCATTAAAATAGCTACATTCGTGGCTTTATTAAAAATCCATGTTTTATATTTATTTTTGAATAAAGATAATTATTTCCATTCTTCGGTATATTTTTAACATTCTAAAAAACTTAATAGTAATTATGCAATGTTTTTATTTTAATAGTTTAAAATCAAATTTCTAAACAATTATTTAAAAATTCTTACTATAATAAATATAGTTTTTAGTTTCAAAAAAAAAATAAAAAATGTATTGGTGAATTTGTGCCCATCCACCCCATTGGGCCTACATGCTCACTCATTATTAATAACGATTACGCAAGGGGGTATTGTTTATTATCTACTCGACATTATCATGTAAATATTCAATTGGAGAAATAAAATGGAAAAAAAATGTTTGTTTATGTGTAAAAAAAATGTTGTGTATATTTCTCCAAACATAGGTATATATTATTATATAAATATTGTATTAAGCGAATGGTAACGAAATCTTTTTTTTTAGTATATAATAAAAACGTAAATTTTAGATAATTATTGCAAGTTGTATAATATTCTTATATTGAAAACAATATTATAATATAAATGTGTATAAAATATGTGTACGTTAGAATCGGTCTTACTTTTTCAAAGACACGAACTGTGTTCCAAATTTTTTTTTTCGCAATTAGTTTCATCGTATAACATTATATTACAATACACTATATCTATATATTATATATAAATATCATATTATATTGTACATTATTACGGTTAAGAATTAATAAATTATGCAAATTATTTTATAGTGTAAAATAAAAACTCAATCTACCGTATGAACATTGTATATGTGTGTTTGTGTACCTCTCCTATATTCCTATTACTATAGATAATAATACATAATATTATTATTAATTGTAAACCAACCCAAGTAACACTGGATATCATGAACTATTATTCTTTAATTTTGTTTATTCTATTAATATTATTTACATTTTAATAATTTATTATTATTATTTCTTGAATATTTGTTGAAGATTTATCAAAATATAATAGCAATATTATATTCATATGGTAAAATATTGATCTTAAAAGAATATTTATATAAGAATATTAATTACTTATTCTATAATAACATAGCTGATAAAATGAATATTACATTAAAAATAATACATTCATATTCTTTTTTATTATATAAATTTTTGAATACCCATAAAACACATCCAATTAAAATACTCAATAAATAATAATTACTACTACATTATGCTTATTAAGATAGTTATTGTTTGTATATCTTATGTCTTGACTTAAGCAATAAATACAGGATCACTACGTGATATTCGATCTGTAATAATTGATATTTATATTAATTCACCGTGTAAGGAGTCAACAGTACCTACCTATATTATAGTTACCTAACTGATAAGTACACTATTATACCAAACGAGTTAGCCTACGCATATTATATGCAACGATGAAATCGATTTTACTAAAAAATTGTATTTAATAATAATATTAAATATACATATTTATAAATATACTATAAACAGTTATTATTTTATTGAAATTGTACGTTCCAACTGAGAAATATACTATTACTGTGTTTTGATAAAAAATTTTTGAACAAGTAACAATTTATACAATTCTCAACTATTTACTTTCTTTTTACTGTCGTCTGTTAATATATATACAAGATGGATCAATAGTATTATCGGTTTTACGATGTTTTTGGAAAATCTGTAACAGTCTTTCCAATCTAGAAAATTTAAATATTTATTTTGGAAATTATGCTTGTAATTGTTGTCCAAAATAGTTTTTAATACCATGCGAAGAGGAAAAGCTTTTATAAAAATAAAAAGAATAGGTATTGAGTAGAAAAAGTTTTAGCTCTAAAAACTATTCTAGTTCCTAACCTTTTTACATTTACCATATAGTTTAAAAAGTAGGGATACGGACCATAACCATGGTATACTATATAGATTAAATTGATTTTTCGATTATAGTACGGATCGGTACCTGCTCTTTATATCTTGGACAAAAATGAATACGTTGTTAGGTTACGCTGAAGATACCGCCAGATCTATTACCTATTAGTTATAACTTATAACAAATTGACTGTTCGTTCAAAGCTCGATTTTTAATTCTCATAAAAATATTTTGACTTAAGTCTTAAAATATGAAATTAAAAATGTATGCTGTTACTCGAAAAAGTAAGAAACTTAAAAATAGTAAAGAATATAATTGTTTTCAATTTTTTTTTTTTTTTATAACAGAGGTAAAAATTATGTAAAAAGAATATCTATAAAAAATATTAAAACTTTTGAAATAATCAGTATTTTATTTTGTTTTTTAATATTCACTTTATATGCTAAACATACGTCTATGCATAATATTTTAAATAACACGTTACACTTAATGATAATATTCAAAAAAAAAAAAAAATAACCAAAACAAAATATACAATATTATTTAACAATATACCTAAATACTGATTAATAATATAATAAATCAATCAAATATGTAGTATAGGTGTGTATCTAATTATTAAATAAAATCAATTCAACCAATATCGCCTTAGATTTGTTGGTTATTAGTAGAGTTAGGATGTTCATGATCTTAAAAATACTAAAAAATGCATCCAAATATGCCCAATAAATATCAAAATATATGCCCTTAAAAAATTAAACAAGTCGTTTTAAAATTACATTACTAGCCAAAAATGTATTCTAAATTAATACCTATATAACTTTTTGTAACTTCAAACTTAAATACAAATATACAAAAATATAAAATTTTAAAATTTCAATGAATCATTAAAACAAATTTTTAAATGATGAAAATGTATATTCAAGCAGTACTGGAGCATTTAACTTTTGGCATTTTTAGTGTGAATAAAACGCATATACTAAAATAAGTCGAAAATACTGTAATTTACACAGTACTCGTGGCGCACCATAGAGTACCATACACTAAATTAAAGATTTTATAATGTAAGTCATTATATCCTATCTACATCATCACTCTAGCGATTTTGGGCCGTAAATATGATTAAAAAAAGTCAAATTATAGACTAGTAAAGATAAGTAAGTAATAATGATAATGTAATAATAAAAACGATGGTTAATATGCGTGTATAAAACGTTTTATAGGTATGTTATTTAGCGCCCGGAGGGAAGCACGACGAAGCATTTGCCCCCCCCCCCCTCCTTGGAATTCAAATATAATGTTGAACATTTTAACTTTTATTTAAATTTAAATAAACATTTCATTGATATTTTTACTTTAGTATATAGAAGTGGCCAATACAAAAATGATTGGGAAAGGTGAAAAGATAAAATTAATTAATTAAATCCTTGTTCGTCTTAATAATAATATATTAATTATAGGCGTAAAAAATAATGTTTAAGACCGGCACACACATCTGAAAATAACTAAAAATAAACCAAATGTATAATATAATATACAATATTATTAATTATTACATTGGAAATTATTGTAATAATAATTGTGAAATTAAATTATTTGTTAACGCGTCGTCTACGGTGCTACACGAGCCTCGCAAAATTATGTACGTAAGTATAATAGTATTGAGTATATTATATTTTAATATTTTGTTTTATTGTTATTCTATTATGGACATTAGACATTTTTTTTAAAAACCCAAGTTTTGTGATTCTTTTAATCAAATCTCTATTGGCTCTACTTCAATTATTGAAATAAATACTACAGTCAATACAAAATCGTCGGAATTGTGTGTAGTTGAAAGTTATTTAATAACGACTAATTAACATATAATTCTAACAAATTTTGTAGTTAGCAAGGATCAAACACTTTTTTAATGTAGGTAGGTACTGTTTAGTGTTTGATTTAATTATGTCCCTTCCTGATAAATTTCCTGCGGGCGCCCATGTATACGCTAGTTGTTATTAGAAATAAAAGAATTAAAAAAATTATTGTTTGTTCAAAAAAAAAAAAAAAAATAATTTAACTTAATCATAAGTTAAACAGTTAAATGAGATTTTTGATATTGCTTATCCCCCACCAGAAGGTTTAAAATCTGGATTAAAACTGGATAGTTTTAGCCTTAAATGACTTTCAACGTTCAGTTTATTTATTTAAAAATAAAAAATAAAGTAGATAAAGCTCGTTCTTGCAGATAGGTTGTTGAAAAGCCCATCATGTTTCTTAGTGCAATTTTAGCGCAACCCGCACACGCTTCACACCGTGCACGATAAAAATGACAAATAGGTAACAGGTAACTACCTATTAATAATAAACGAACTACATGAGATAAAACTACATTCATACTTTGATAACGTTAATTGTGTAAAAAATATTTTGTTTTAAGAATAGACTTTAGTAATGTTAATATTATATTAAAGTTCACGGCCCTGTACTACGCTGTTCGAGGGCAGTCGGGGCCCATGGGTTGGGAACCACTGGTGTAAAGACGTGTAGCACACAATATTATTATTAATTGTTATCGCAAATAATTACTTTATTGTATCGACGCGGCGGCCGAACACGTTCGGGCACTAAGCTCAGTGGGCCAGCCTGCTACTTCCATCGCACGCGCTCTCACTCGACACACTCATCGCGCCTTCATAAGCCATCGCAATTCGCACGTCCGTCGTATTCTCGACTTGTTTCAATAATATTCATTATCGTGTTTTAGAATTTTTAGATTAACATTTATACGTGAACAATAAAGTAAAACATAATATTGTGTTCTTTAACTTATTCCGATTGTCATTTGTTGGTTGTTTTTTGAATTTAAACCTAAAATGTATAATATTGTCATTGTTCCTTTCAGTGTTTTTAGAAGTTTAATGGTTTTTACTTTCCACCTCGCAACAAACTACGTCTCGTATCTACAATCTACTCGTACATTCTACCATGTTCATTAATTGTCGACATGTCGTCAAGTGACGAAGATTCATTTAAAAAGTAAGTAGCTTTCATATAATATGACAAACCTAATTATGTAAAATTATATAATAGGTATTACAATAATTGATTTTATTTTAATGTTATGATTAGTGCTGTCTTAAGATGGATATTTAAGTCAAAAGTTAAAATCCATTGAATCTATTTCTTCTAAACATCAGCAAAGATTGATAAAAAATAAATTTGATTATTTAATAATTGATCCTACCAGAAATGGAGCATGTACTAGTCAAACGTCAAACTATTAAACATAAGTCATTAGATTAATCAAATATTTCTGAATATCAAATTGTAACATCTTACATTAATGTTACTTATTTAAACTCCTTTACTAGCATACTGTTTTAAATAAATTAAACGTATCTACAGATTCTATGGTAGATATTACATCTTTTATTGAATTCTCTAATAATGATTTTACTTAAATCATTATCAAGTACAAATTCAAATACTGATTTCAAAGATTTAATTGTTACCTAGGCTTTAGAAGAAAATATTTCCCATAAATCTATATTTAAATATTAAAAATATTGAAATCCCATTTTTGACTATATTATCTTTCAAGAGACCCAAGAGCTTTATTAAAAACGCTTAATAAATTAACTATTTTTAAAGAACTATATCTTAAAATTTATCATTATTTTGGCTTAGAAAATGGTTAAAATCAATATTTTTAAAAAAACAAAGCATTTTTACTTAATAATTATGAAATTGAAGTAATTATTAGTGATGATAGACTACCGCTATCTAAATCATCATCAAAAATGTACAACTAAGTTTAGGGTCAATTAATAAATAAATCATTAATATGTAGTAAATGTTGAATTTGACGACAGGCTACAAATTATTCCAAGAAAATCGTTGATTAATGAAACATCAAGTTTCTTTCCAAGTTATAAAAATTTTAAATTATATGACCATGTCCTATTGTATCAATGGAAATTCTAAATTCACCTACAACTACTTGGGATGTATATCATATTAAAAAGCTATTTAAAAAAACAGGTCTGATATATATTTGATGTATCAATTGTTAATGTGCACTTAAATTTAATATTTTTATTTCTAGATGATTTTATTAAAACTAAATAAATATTAAATAAAGCAGAGTATAGGTCAAATTTTGAAAGCGACTAGTATTGCATTGAAAATACACAAAGTATTTGCTGCAAAATCATGAAGTGACAGTGTTGAATTTGATAAAAATTCTGTTTCAATAAGTAATATTATTCTACCATTTCCAAATCCATCTGATAGTTATACATAACTCATAAAAATAAAAATGATAATTTGATTTTATAAATTAAAATACATTTAGCAAATATATATATATATATATATGTATCCAGAAACATATTAATGAAAAAAATTGTTTATTTAATTCAAGTTAAGTTTAAAAAAATATATAATGTGACATGATACTACAAAAATTTCAAAAATATACATTTATTCAGATACCTATCTATGAAAAGCAAGTTTATTCTCCAGTTATTTCATCTCAAAAATGTTTATTTAATTCTGGTAACATACATATATTTTTAAGTAGTTATTAATGGTATTACAGTTATTTAATTTCAATATTTAATTATTATAGAGCCAGTAACAAGAAATATACTATCTCAAAAAATTAAAAAATGTCTTGGTACTTTTAATAATTCAATTTCACCTTTACCAGTACCTCCAGTGATTCAGGTAATTTTATATTTTTAATTTATCCAAGTTATATTTAAGGATTTTAATTTGAATCACTTATGTGATTTTTTTAGAATACAAAAACTTGGAACTCAATATTCCACAGATCTCATTATCACCAAATTTATTTGAAGATGGTGATATTGATATTAATCCGTTACCCATTGAAATTAAACCAGGTATTTGAATTCTTTTAAATTTCAATTGGTTATTTTAATTTACCTTGTAATTTATATTGTAATAATTTTATAATAACCAACTACTGAGTTTTAAATAGTAAAAGTTACTGGCTTACTGTAATTGATGCGTTATATTTGAATTTTTTGATATTTTATCATTGTATACAAAAATGATTTTGAGAGACTAGTTGTTTGTCGTTTTAATAGCCTATACAACTACCAAAGTAAATTTCTGATAGGTTTTTTAATATTGTTTTAATAAATAATTTATTTTTCTATTAGTGTTGCCATATATTAATTTAACTTTTGCCTAAAACATTGTATTTAATAGATATTTAATATTAAATTATTAAAATAATGTATTTTGTTATTATTATAAACTTTTGAGTAAAACAAAATATATTAATTTACACATTTTTAAATTATCATTGAGTAAAATAAAATTCATAGTGTGCATAGAAGTCTCAAGTTCTCTCTTCCTCATGGATAATGATTTTGAATTTTAACAAAAGAATTAACATAATTATTCGTTGTTAAAATGTATAATTTAATTCAATTTCAAAACTTAAAATTTATAAAAAAATGTTGACAAAATATTTTTGTTTGCTTTTAACTAGTTTATAAATTTTTGTAATTTTGTTAGGTTTTGTTAAAATTAAATTTTCAAATTTATATGCCTTAACGGCCAGGAGGATAGGCAACTTAAATTACACTATCATCAGTTATGATACCCAATAATTAGGGCCCAGAATTATATACACTAAAAACGTACTTGATATGCATGCATTTATGCACTTTAAATATGTAAAAAAAAAAATCAATTAAAAAAAGTCTTTTATTTTCATTAAGTATAAATAAATAAAATCGAATGAAAAATATGCAAACACTGATCACGACAAACACGATGAATGTATGATTCACTAAAATCTACTCAATAACATATTACACCTTGTTTCAATAAGTCTCAGATAAGATTAGAAAATGACTTTGTCAAATACGTTATTTTAATTAAAATAAGTAAAATATTACATATTATGCATTTAATAACAGTATATATGTAATAAAAAATTTGTAAAATATACAGTGCATGTCAATAAATGACAAAATATACAAAATAAAACTTAATATTTAGGATCTATTAACTACAAATCAAACTTGTAGCTGACCTAGCTATTTTTTGGATTATTCAGAAAATACATGCAAATATATATAAATCTGGGCCCTACTGATAATATTTAATAATTTGACCATTATCTAAAACAGTATAATAATAATTAGGCCTGTTAATAATACAATAGACCGGTCGATCTATACGCAAAAACAATAATGATCGATCGTATTCATAATTGACAGGGTTAAGTGGTGGTGGATTTAATCTCATGTGACTCACGCTGGGGAATATAACAATATTAGGAACAAAAAGATTATTGAATATTCATGCACACGCATAGAAATTGTATTTTATAAAAAATGTAGATAAAAATTTTAATGTCAATCATAGTAATAACTAGAGGTAGGATTTATATTCTCTTAAAATCCTTAAAATATGATGTTTTTATGTCACATAAAATAGGCAATATATTCTCTTAATATTCTTTTAAAATACCAGATATACAGAGTGTTCCAAAATGATTCATCCGATTACGAACTGATATAGTTCGGCAACGGTTAATCGCAGGTTAATGACCAATGTATTAATGGAAAGATTAGATAACTAAGTTTATTTTAAGTTATCTAGTTGTTAAATTCGGCACCGTAATCGTTAGTGACGTAACTTAATTAGTTGTTATCGAAATGTCGACCGAGCAACAAAAAGCGTTTTGTGTGCTCCGCTTTGAGAAGTTTTTTTTTTTTTTTTTTTTTTTTCTCTGGGGTTACATAAAAAGCATTGTTTATGTACCTCCCCTTCCAAAAGATTTTGACGAATTGAAAAGTCGCATTACAGGCGCCATCAACTTGGTTACAGTTGACATGCTTCAACAGGTTTATGAGGAATTTGAATATCGCTTAGATGTGTGTTGTGCAAGTAAGGGGGGTCACATTGAACATTTATAAGCATTGTACCTAAAACTTAAAATAATCCATCAAAATTTAAAATTAATTCTAACATGATTAATCAAATTTTACAATAAATATGATTTTTTTAAATCGGATGAATCATTTTGGAACACCCTGTATAATGTTTTATGTCTTTAAATATGCAAAATATTCTTTTAATATTAAAAAAAAAAATTATTAAATTTATTTTTTATTAATTTGGTTTTAAATATATTTAATTTAATCTATTTTACAATAACAATTAATAACTATATATTGTTCCATGTGTTCCGGTGTCATTTTAGTACGCCGGTTTGTAAGAATGTTCTTGTAAATGCTGAATGATCGTTCGACATCCACCGATGTCACTGGAGAATATTGCAAGTCGGCTACCATAGTCGGTGAATAATTTTCCGGAAGTTGTATTGTGTTATTTCCACTAAGAACTTGTCCAATATTTTTCAAAAATTTGAACCCTTTGTTTTTTTGTTGAAGTTGCAATATTTTTGTCTTTACTACTTCTCCTTTTTCTCCTGGTATCTGCTCAAGTTGTGTGAAAGTGTTTTCGATAATATTTATCATATCAACTAAGGCAGTATTTGATTTTTCCAAACTTTTGATAGTTGTAACAATTTGAAGAAAATTAGTTTTAATAAAAATCAAATCATTTTTTACAGACTGTAAGTGTAACATGTTTTTGCATTTTTCAATACTGACTGACGACTTTTCTTCACTTAATTTGTCTATAACATTTTTCAAACCCTCAAAATGATCGAAATTAAATACAGCGGCTTCCAGCCAAGTTCCCCACCTAGTTAATACGGGTTCTGGAGGTAATGGCACATTGGGTAATATTTCTTTGTACACCTGGACATGATATGGCGCTTTTAAAAATACTTTTTTTAGATTACTGATTAATGTGTTCACATTTGTAACATTTCTCTGACTTTCTCTGCAACCCTGTTCATCATGTGAGCTTCACACGTAACGTGAATTAAATTTGGGTAGAAAACTTTTAGTGTATCACCGGTTTTTGTCATGTATGGAGCTGCATCCGATAACATTAACAACACTTTTTCGTCATTTCCACCCAACGGCCATAATAATTTTAGTCCATCATTGATAAACCGAGCAACAGTGGAATGATTAGTTTTTTCCAAAACTTTGCATGTCAGGAGAAATGGGCGAGTCGGAGTATTTGATTTTAATATTCCCACCAGTAAATTTGCAACATAACGACCGTTTGTATCTGTAGTTTCATCTACAGCAATCCAAATATTATTTTCACCAATTTCATTTTTGATTTTTGTTAAAGTATTATAGTAGCACGGCTCGAGATAATTTTTACGTAACGCACTTTCATCTGGTATATGTTTGCCAGTGTATTTCTCTAAAAATGTACGAAATTGAGGAACTTGCATTTTATACCAAGGTATATTAGCTGCTACTAAGGCTAGACACAAATCTTTGTTAAAATCATTTTTATTTTCATTGGGAGTAGCTTCTGATAAAAATAATTGTTTTGATGAAGTATTTAATTTACGTTTTAAACCATTTATGTGGACATTAGTATGTACATGTTGTGTTACCTGTGACTTTTTGGTGCAAGGAATATTTTTGTCACAAACTTGACAAAAAATTGTTGCACCATCTGTCGTGAAAATCGTTTGTTGGTTATTGTACGACGAAATCCATTGAGCAAATAAACTTTTTAAACTGCTTGAAGTTTTCGGCATATTTGTATGTTATAGACAGTTATAGTAATATGAGACGAGTGGAAAGAAAATATTATGTATATCACACTCAGATATCAACACTCGACGCGATGCGACGGACGACTAGTAGACGACGAGAATAGTCGTGACAGCTAACGAAATAACCGATGTGCTATCGCAATCGATAAGGAATACATGGAGATTAATTTTTATTAAAACCCAGAAATAAATCATTTAGTGAACATTGTATTTATCAAAGTGCTGATATACGTGAAATATGTTCATTATATGCCAATTTTAGAAAAATATTCTCAAATATTCTCTTACGTATTAAATATTCTCTAACCCCTAAAATATGCTTTTTTATGCAAAATAAATTTTTTCCTGTGAATTCTGTGTTTCATGAATCGTAAAGATTTCTCACTCCCATTTAACTGCATAGACTAGAAACGAATATGTAAAATCATAAAAATCCGACCTCTAGTAATAACAAATTTTATTTTATTTAAACATTAATGAGGTCGAAGATTTTCAACATTCAATTGACAAACACTGATTTAATAAAGTACATTGTTTGTGATTCAGTGGAAAAAGTTTAACGAAGTTAACATCAAAAGAAAAAGATTTAAAATTGAAAAAAATCATTCGTAAATAATATAATTTTTTTTTTATTACTAGGATATTAAACAATTTGTACTACATGCACAATAAGAATATGGAATAATAACCTGACTTAGCACTAATAAATTATAATGTTTATACATTCATTTTATTTATTTTTTTTTTTTTTTTTTGTACTTTATAAGAGGAAAATATTTCTACACCATAATTATTTTAAGCGATGACGAGAGTTAGATTAAGTCTTATATTAAGAGAGGAATGAGTTCACATTAAATTGGGAAACTTTTTTCAATTTCTTCGCTTTTTGATGATAGGGTTAAAGTCGATATTGGTTTAAATTTTGAGAGTGATTGGTGTGTAATTTGACCCTGAATCATTTAAATTAGTGATATTTGTATACATATGATTTGGTAGATTGGAAAGGAAGAAGTGAAGGAAGTCAGGATGTTTATTTACGTGAATTAGTCAGTAGATTGGAGAGGGTAGAGAAATAATTTTGTAACGTTTGCTTGTGATAAAGTTTGACAAAGTACGGCCTCTCGTGTTTCTTATGCAACTGCTCCAGGCTTTATGTTAGGCGTTAAAATCCACACCAATGATATATGTGTTTTTAAGCAATTGAAGATATAGACGATATAGTGATAAGTTTTCTAAAAGAAAAAGGCATTCAGGATGAAAGTAGGCTAATATTATTGAATTAAGTATGGAGTTAATAATTATGGATGTAACAACTAGTTTCATGTTTTGGTTTGATTTAAGAAAAAAAGAAGAGTACAGGATTTTAGAGGAAATTAGTAAAGTGGTATCAGCGTGTGCTGAATCATCAGGGTGATTTGCTTGAAGACATACATAATCAAATATTTTGAATTTTGAGTTGGTGGTGAGATGCGTTTCAGTAATGAGAGCTATACCTACATTATTTTATTTTAGGAAAATTTGAAGTTTATTTGTATTATTGGTGATTCCGTAGAAGAATGCCATTCTGAGATGTCTTTCCTACTAAATGGGATTTCAACTTTTATTTTTGTGAAGCATATTGAGGTTATTTTAAAAATTACAGAATTGTTTGAGTCTGACTCTAAGTCAATAAAAAATATCAGGAGAGGCTCTTTGGAAAGTCGATGGCGTACATTATTTATATTTTATGCTTGAAAATCTAGGAATGATAGTTAACTTTTTATGGTGATACATCAGTTGAGGGGTGAAGATTTTTAATTAATACTATAATTTTTTTTTTTTTTCTGAAAAGAGTGGAAAAACCTCTTTAAGGTATTTTATAACGACTCTATATGAATCTGAGTTGAAACTTTGTAATTCCAGATCTTTGGTGGTAGTTTTACATTCGAAACTAGTGGAATTGGTTAGTTTATTCATTTTAGTGATAAAAGTATTAAAATTTAACTTTGATTCGATGAATATTGACGGCTGGTTTCGAGGTTTGGTTTCGTTAACTGTCTGTGAATAGTTATTAACGTCTGTGGTTATTTGTGTATCATTGTCAGGAAGAGCAGTAGAATAAATACGATTTGCGAAAATAAAAATATTAGTGTCTTTTTTTAGAGATAGAAAGTTGGCGTTGTTTGGAGATCTTATGTGTTTTATTGGGTCTGGTGGGATTGTTTGTCTGTCGTTTTAATAAACAGAGAAATCTGAGGAAAATTAGCGTCTAATTGATTTAATAATACTTTTGATATTTTTAACGGTAGAATCGTTTTATTAACTGCATTTTTATTTTTATAATTTGAACTTGTGGATTTATGATCATAGTTATCGACATTTTTATTTTATTAATTAATTATTTTTATTAAAATATAATTTATTTAATTATTAATTTAAAATATATAAAGAAGCACCTACACTTTAGTAAATAATGAATACATGTATCAACGTGAATGTAATATGCCGGAAAAAAGCATTTGACGGTGTATACAATACAAACAAAAAAGTAGAGGAAGACAAAAAGTCCATCTAATGGTGAAAAAATAAAATGCACGGACCATGATTAAGTTTCGAATATTTCCAAAATTGAAGCCGAAATACAGATAAATGAAATGAAAGAAAAAGCAAGAAGTACGTCATGTGAATCGACACCCTCAGTTCTTGAAACAATAGTTCAGGTACTCATTTATCATATTATTATGTGTTTTATTATATTAAAAGTTATCAATGTTATCATCATCCTCATAACTTCATTTAGAATATTCTAATTTTTAGAACGTTTTAAATTAGTTAGTTATCAATTATTGTAATAATTTATTATTTTACATTTTGCTATTGCTATTTTATACGCTGTATGCACATTGTCGATTGCATAAAGGTATAGACGTACAGTGACAGTTATTTTATATTTTTTATCAATAATATCGATAACAAAACCATTAGATGTTATACATATAATTTAAAATATCAAGTAGAATTACTGGTAGATGGTCAACTACTGAGTGTCGCCACATTGAAAAGGACTACACAACATGTTCGTCAAATCTGCTCCATAAAATCCAGTCGACTTTGATTTTAATATTCCGGTAAAATTTTCTCTATCGATAGAGAACTTTTTCTTCAGTACAATAATGGGTTCAATGATACTAAACGTATTTTAATATTTACAACAAACAGTAATTTTGAACTAATGGAAAATAGTGAAAACTAGTTATGTAATGGAACTTTTTCTAGTGCTTCATCAATATTTTCCTAATTATATACGATTCGTGGAATACATTATTCACATGTAATCCCATCTGTTTATGCTTTACTGTCTGACAAAAATAAAAAGAGAAAGCTTACAAACGATTTTTTTCGAGCAGTTAAATAAATCGATTAATCCAAATGTTAACCCAAATAATTTCAATGATGGTTTACAAAAAAACAACAATGAATAAAGTAAGATTTGAATTTTCTGATGTGGTTATAATTGGTTGTTTTTTCACTTATCTTAGTATGTACAGTGTATGGTGACATTTCCAAGAAATTAATTTATCAAAAAAAATATAAAGAGGACTCAGGATTTGCTCTGCATGTCCACATGATACCAGCTTAAGCATTCGTACCTCAAGAAGACGTTATTGAAATCCATTGAAATTAATAACTTTTCAACCAATGAAGAGTTTTTAACACCACTTATTAATTACTTTGAAAGTAATTGTATTGGACGATTACAATGTAGAACCAAAATTTAGTATTACAATTTGGAATTGTTTTGCTCTTGTGGAAGCAGATTTGTCTCAAACAAACAATTCAGTGGAAAAATGGCACAACTGCTTTTCTTTTTGTCAATGTTAAATTCATAGATTCATGTATCTATATGGGAATTAATTACTGAAATACAAAAAGATGAATGTGTCAATCGGTTGAAAGTTAAATAATTAGTTGCAGGAAATCAACAATCATTAAAAAAAAAGTTTAATGATCGAGCCAAAAAACTTAAAATATATGTAGTGATTTTATAATAAAAGTTAAAAAGATTATTTACGTGGGGTCATGCATAATTTTCAACTGTTAGTTTGATTTTATTAGGTACTATTATTTTAATTATAGAAAACTTTGTTAAAGTATATTTGTGAGAACCAATTATTATTATTTTAATTATTGACAAATTTGTTAAAGTTTGTTAGTGAAAAATCGAAATTAAAGTAACCTAATCAAACTATCAATTGCATAGATCAGGGGTCGGCAACCCGCGGGCCGCATGCGGCCTGCAAAGTAATTTTTGATGGCCCGCACAAAGGTGGTTAATTTTTGTGTTTTACTTTTGTTCAATAACATTTTTCATATAATTTTCAATATTATATAATTCTTTTTCCTTTATAAATAAAATCTAATCTAACCGTTTCATAATAGCAATACAATTATAAGTATTATATCATAATATGTAATTTTTTTTTTAATGTGGCCCTTGATGAACAATTGAAAAAAAAAATGGCCCGTGTGGTTAAAAAGGTTGCCGACCCCTGGCATAGATAATAGAAAAATGGATTGGCCGTACAACCTTATCACACGGGAACTAATTGGTAAATTATTTGAGGTTAAAAAAGGCAATAGATAGATAAGCATCAAATATTTACAATTTAATGTTATTAATTTAAAACTTAAAATCAAAAGTTATACTAGTTATATAAAATCGAACAAATTTCAAAAGTAATTTTCACTTAATTATTTTATCTATAGCGTAACCTGGGGTACGCGATATAATCTCAAGGGGTACCTGAAAAAAATTGACTAATGGCGGAAAAATGTTGAATTTGTTTATTTAAAACGATTGGTTTCAAAGATATTCAATATATGTTATTAAAAATATAAATTTGTGTCACAAATTAAAGAATAACTGCAATATTGAAAACAATTTAACTTGGATATGATTAAAATTAACTCGTTATTTATTAAGTTATATCAATAAAAATTATTTAAATTAACAATTAATTTTAATGAAAATTAAATTTGAAAAAATTAAGTTAAAATGTTAAAATTAACTTGACTTTAACTTTTTTAATCATTTATGCCCAGGCTTATTGTTTAGTATTGTTAATATTGAGTTTATTCAACTATTTCAACTAATATACATTTTTAAATAACAAAATGTAAATTAATACATTATACAATTATTACAAAATTATTATCTGGAATATATTATTCTATTTTAGTAATCAATATAAAATATTTATATCCATAACATTATAGGATATTATATAACAGTTTATCTGATGTTCAAATTAATAAACATCATACAATTTATATTTTTATTTTTATAATCTTAAATGAAAAAATGTAATGGCGGTAGGAAATTAAAATACATTTGGACGCTTTCACAGGTTGTTATTTAATTTTGGCTACACTGCAGTGTGGCGTGGTGTGATATTGTTTATCAACATTAACGACACATCACATCTACATGACACGTCACTCGTGGCTGTTCACTATTCCCTATTTCCTAACTCTTGCATTTTATCACCGAAGTTGCTAATTCCAATTTTGTATATGTATCTTTTCAACTCCACGGTTTTTGCGTATTTAGGTACAATAAATTTTATTTATGATTACTTAAAACATTTAAAACTGTAGTTTTTTATCTTCATAGTTGTAATTTGTTTTACAGATTGACTCAAATATAGCTCCATTCTCTAGTTTGAATATCCAGTACGAGACTCCCAACAAATGGAGAATACCCCAGTAAGTAACTTCCATAAATATTTACTTTATTGTTACAATATTGAAATATATTTATTTTTTTAAATACTGTAAAAAAACATTCATGCTTTGGGTTACTTTAAATTTCCAAAAAGAATCTTTGCCCAAGTCATAAACTTAACATAAGAATCATCAGGTTCAAAAATATTTATTTATTTGTATAAATGAACTGATTGAAAAACATCTGACAACTTTTTTAGAAAAATGCAAATTATTACATACAACTACAAATGCATTAGAAAAAAAAAAGCATTTTGAATTTTACTGTGATAATGAGGACAGTTATTAGAAAATATTTTTATTTGTTTTGAATTGTTGACTTTAAGTTTTTTTTATTTTATAATTGTAGTGAGAGATAAACTTTGACATTTATGATAGTACATTCTTTTTGTCGTCCCTTTGATAATGTCATCAGCACTTGATAAATCAAATTCATGTATTGCCAATGGCAATTTTATTTTTGCTTCTTTGTATGAACCAGAACAATTTGTGCGAAATGGATTAGTATACAATTCACTAGATAAACTAGATAATATATTTATTAAAATTTATTAATGAAAACTTCATGTCCAATTTGTTGTCTAAATTTGTAAAATATTCATATTCATATTCAATTTAATTTTTTTTTGAACAAATTTCTTCGCTTGCTTAGAAGTTTTAGGCCAAGCACAAGAATTATTTTTCAACAAACAGTTAGGTACCACTACTAACAAATGTTGTCTGTGTATCTTTTGATTCCTATGTTTTTCATATGTCTCAATACAATAAATTTTATTTGTGATTAATTAAAACTGTAGATTTTTATCTTCAGAGTTGTTATTTGTTTTACAGATTGACTCAGATATGGCTACATTTGTTGACTTAAATATCCAGAACAAAACACTTTTTCCATTAATGGAGAATACCCCAGTAAGTAACTTTTATAATTATTTACTTTATTTGTTACAATAATGTTTTCAATTGCTTAAAATGTGCTACTGTAGTGGTAACTTACACTATATTGTGAAATATATTTCTTTTTGAATGTTATATCTACTTAATAATTGATAGTAATGATAGTAAGTAGTACAAAATATTAATTGAACTCACCCATCTACATTTGCTTATTGCATTCATTAAAATCTCACTATTATATTTTCTAATAAAAGATCATAATTTGGGATTGAATTTATTAACTTATGTTAATTATTAAACTTTGAATGAAAATAGAATGTTAATGTTAAAATTTAATATTGAAATAAATATTTATAGTTAAAAATATTTTACTATTTTCAAAATAAAAATACTTAATAATTATATTTAATGTCAGGAAAAAAACAATTTCAATATTTCAATTGGTACTAATATTTTGTCAGATAACAAGAGTATTCTTATAATGTTATAAACTTATAACAATATTTGTAGACGTTATTGTAATATTATTAAAAAACTAATTGACCTCTAATATCATGTTATCCTAACAAAAAATCATCAATATTTTATCACATTAATTGCAAAATATTCAGTTAATAATAATAACATTTATCAAAAATTAGGCAGGTATAATTATTTCAGTATACAAGTATAAATGAGTATAATATTAGTAAAAATTAAAATCATCATACTATATTATTATAAATATTAACAGGTTAATTTTTTTAAAGTTGAAGTGTGACATCAATGTATCAAACATATTTTGATGCAAGACTTCATTACCACTTCAATACTTTCATTGTTACAAAACTCCACAACAATCCAACCACTTTGATCTCCATCTAAATAAAAAAAAGAAATTTAATTATATACCCAATCTTAAAAATATGTTGTAATTTTATTGAAATGTTTGTATGAATAATAATAATTTTTTTATTAAATAGTTATAATAATTTTTTTCCGCTATGATGAAATATTATAATTTTTTTTTTTTTTTTTTAGTATTATTATCCAATATTCAAGTTGACTAGATAAATTTTTTATTTTAAATATTTCAATAATTTTTAAATTAGGAGAATCTTCTAAATATGGTGGTAAAATGTTTAATTTTTTTCCAATGAGCATGGCAATACCATCTTTTTGAGCAAAATTCATAAATTTGACTATTTCTCCATTTTTAGTCAGTATAAAACCATTTCTCTCTTTTTTAATTTTAATAGTTAAACTTTTAAATATAAGTGTGTATTATGGACCTATTAGATCATCAACCAGTGAACAGTTATCATGGACATGTTTTAAAACTGATTGATTGTCCCCATTGATGGTTTATTACTTAAATTATTTAGTATACATTTTTCATAACATATATTAATAATTTATTTCAAAGGTTTTTAATTATTTCTAAAATAATATTTTATTTCTTACATGTAATTTTCAAAATCAAATACTGAAAAATTATAATTAAGTAGACCAAATAAATTATAATCCTTACCTAAAAGTAACAATACATGGATATTGTGTGATACAACTTGTTATATATAAGTTCTTGACAAAAATATCTAATAGTTAGCTTACATATTGAAGAAGAAATTTCTCGCCAGGACTTGACAAAATTTACATTGCAATGTTCATTACCATAAAATTGGTGTAAATTTTTTCATTTAAAATGGTTTTTAACACAACAAGCTTAGTGTATACCAAAAATGAATGGAATTCAGTTACTTTTTAGTAACATACACCTTGAAGATATCTACTCTTTAGATATCGGATGTAAGATATAAATTCTTGAATTGAAAAATGTTTACATGAATTTATGAATAATTTCTTTTCATTAAATGTATGTATATCTGTTGGCCCATTATGAGTTTTGATAACTGATAATGGCAAATCAATTTTATAATGAAAATATAAAATTAAAATGTTAACTTAATAATTTAATAAATTTTACTTACCATGAATAGCATAATAAACTCCAGACATTTTATAAATTATAATTAGAAAGTAATTATGGAATAGGTATACAAATTATAAATTTCCAATTTTTGATATTAATAAAAGTTTCCTAGACAGTAGACAAGTATCATCTAATTTTAATATTAGAGGTATTAATGGTATTATGGTGGTATGTGAGTTATTGTCATTTGTGTCTGCCACAACAAAAGTTGTTCAAAATATATTTTGAATAACTATTTCTTTAAATAAACTTTTTTTATTTTGTTAACTTAAATTTTAGAAATATGAAGATATAAAAAAAATAATAAAGCAGATCAGAAATCATATTGAAATCAAAGATATGAGTCGCTTGCTGACCAGTAAGTTTATATACGCTCTTAAATAAAGAACAACCTTAATAAACCATTAAACTTTTTATAGGTTTTAAGGAACTAACCGCGTTAAGTGATGAAAATGAATTCCTCATTTCAGAGTTACTTTATGAAGAAATTGATTTACCACCATATTTTTTTGTCCAATTCTTAGTTGAAATTGAAGATTTTATTAATGATGTTTGGAATGATAGAGTAGGACGAAAAAATTTATCAAAAAAAAAATTTAAAAGTTTGGCTTTCCTTAGACAAGAATTTAGAAAATATGTAAAACATTATCCGAGTGTATTGATTGAATTCCGAGAAAAAACTGATCTATCTTACAAAAAAGAAGACCAAAATGAATATGAAGATGTAGATTCTGATGATAGAGAAAGTGAAGATGAAACATTGACTGCTTCTTTCAAAAAAACTGAAGAAAAAATACCCAAGGTTAAGATTCTTTTATTTTAGTTTAAATCTACTTATTTTTCAATCATAGATACATTAATATCAATATTTTAATTTAGGTACAAAAAAATGGTGAGGTTTCTTACAGTCTTATTTTGTTTGATGATGGTAATAACTCTGATAGCAGTGAAGATAAAGGTTATTATGAATATCAAAGTATAGGAGAATGGTTTATTAAAAAGTAAATTAATTTTGATTAACATTTAATACTAATACTTATTACTTCTATTTTTATATCAAAAAATATTTTAATACTAGATCAACTGATAATGACGATGATGAAAGTGATGAAGAAGATGAAAGTTATTCTATATGGCAAAAAGTACGAAGAAGAGTAGCTATTCCAATTAATTATTAGTTATAAGTTTTAATAATTTGTCATTGTTCAATCTTTTAAATTTTTTTTCCTAGGAAAAATCTAAAACATTTGCAAAATATAAGAAAGTTACTTCAAAGGCTGTTTTACTTAAATTAACTGAAGTAATTGCTGCCTACGGAAAGGAATGTACAGATCGAATTGAACAAATTGGAATGTTGTATGAATTGTTATTGATTTCAGAAACTCGTTGGTTTGCAGAGGGATTAATAGTAAAAATAAAAATGTCAATTATTTCTTCTATTTTTGATTACTATTTTGAAGTTTCTGATACTATGAAGCCAAAAATTTGGAGCAAGTATGTTAATCATTCTATAATTATTAATATATATTGTTAAATATTAACAGAAAATAAGTTTATTTTAGATTGTTGAATTGTGTCGTTGAACTTCTGAACTCGATTCTCCCTCATAGAGGTTCAGTATTCATTGGGGAATCAGTAGCAGAAGATGATGATTCATTATTCGAGCCTAATTATAGAGTACGGGGATGTGTGCTTACAATTGTTGAACGGTTAGATGACGAATTCAAAAGAAGTTTGAAAGAATGTAATCCTCGCAGTATGGATTATGCGCACAGGTTTTTATTTTGTTAATATGATATTAATTTTTATGATTTAACACATTAAATTATAACATTTAGATTAAAGAATGAAATACGTATTTGTCAAATCATTGATAAAGCTCAACTGTTCTTGGAAGAACAAAACATTAAGTCAGAAGTCTGCCGTATTTATATGCGTAATATTGACCATCTCTACTACAAATTTAATGTCTTTACATTAAGGACCCTCAAGGTAAAAATATATAAATTGAACATTTTAGTTTGTGTTTAATTTAACACATTTCCATTGTTACATTATCTTATACTTTTTTTTTCTTTGGCTTTTCTGTAAAATATAGAATGAGTAAGTCCTTTTTAATATAACTCATATTATTTATGAATAACTATTAATGCCTATTTTCAATTATATAAATCAACTAGCCGACCCGTCACAGCTTCGCCCGTGATTGGTTGTTTATTTTGCCTTCGGACCATGATATGTAGAATTTTTTATTCAAATATTATTGTTTAATGTGATCGGCAAGTAAATATAAAAAAACGATTAATGAAAACGGATTGAAATTTTGCTAGCGTTATAAATGATAAAAATAAATACAGATAAAAAAGAAATAAATTATGGTTGATAAAGAATTTTATTGAGGTTGATGAAGAAAAAAAAAAAATAAGAATTTTATAAGACTTCTGAGTATATGATGTTTTTTGTTATATTTCCTGTTGAAATTAAAATCTATACTATATATACAATATTGTAAGGGTTTTTCTTAGACCGCGCTAACCGAGAAAACTACTGAACCGATTTGGCTGAAATTTTTTTTGGCTATAAAACATAAATATCTTTATTTACACATAATAATAATAAATAATAATAATATAATTGAAATCTATACTGATATTAACTAGTGGAATTTATTGATAATATCTTCAATAAATATTTAATTTGTACTATATTTGTTCAATTTTAATTCTCAATAATGTAATTTTAGTATGATCTAGTCGGATCTAGTTTTCCATGTGAACCAAATCTTATAAAAATGGAAAAATTATGCCATTATATTTATGCCAACGATAATACAAATTGTTTGAAACCAAGAACATTTTTGTGTCAAGCTTATTATTATGCCTTCCACCATAGCTTTTTTAATGCAGAACAAATATTATCCAGAGCCGGTTTGCTTAACAAACCCATTCAAGACTTAGATCCTGAAATTCAAGTATGTATTATATAAGTATTAGAGTTGTCATATATTGTTATTTTATAGACAAACAAAGTCTGTTACCACCCAACTTAATATATAATATGCATGTATACACAGTAACGGTTATTTGATTGAATTATATACATCTAATACAGATTCTTTACAATCGTACTATGGCATGTATGGGATTGTCTGCATTTCAAGCAGGAAATATTCAACATGCACACAAGTATTTAGTTGATTTAATGATGACTGGTAAAGTGAAAGAGTTATTAGGTCAGGGATTGTCACCACAAGTAAATACATTATATTAATAATTACACAATAATAAACAGTTAATTATTATTTTCTAATGTTCAAATATTATTTTTGTAAAGAGACTACATGAACTTAATGAAGAACAAAAAAAAGTTGAAAAACAAAGACAAATGCCTTTTCATATGCATATTGATTTACAAGTCTTGGAAGGCGTGTACCTGGTATCAGCTATGTTTAAAGAAACTGGTAAATTAAATTATAAATAGTATTAAATAAATTGTATACTATGTAAATGTATTTCTCAATTGAATTTTAAAAATATAAACTAGCTCGCGAATATATTAATCAGCAACAGCATTCTAGTGAATACCAGTATTTAACTGTTCCTCCAGTATCGATAAAAGACAATATTTTGGCAGCTGGTGAAGCATTGAGGAATGGAAATTTATCTGCATGCCGCAATTTTTTAATCAACGTAAAAATGAATTCCAAGGTATAATTATTTTGATAAATTTTTATTTTTATTATTTATTAAATTACGTATTTTGATAACAGGTATGGTACTATTTCCTTGAAAAAGATAAAATAAAAGATATATTAGAATTTCAGTTAAAAAAAATATCTTTTAGTAAATATATACAGAATCATTCTGATACTATTCACTCTGTTTCAACAAATGTATTATCAGCGATGTTTAAACTCCCAGAAGATATCATTCAAAACATAATTTTCTCAAATGATGATTTATTTTAGAGTTACTATATGCAATAGTCATATCACTGACTCATTACCATAACTTTCTCTGCAAACAGCCGAAAAAGTTAATAACCTTATGGACTCCAATAAAAGGATTCAATCAAATAGTTATTATTTTCTATTTTATAAACATTACAGTTATAAATATAAACTTAAATCTAAAAAGAAAATATTTTATACTTTTATATTGAATGAAATTGGTATAGAATACATTTTTATTCTATAAGAAATTAAATATTTGAAATTTAAAATTTAACATTATTTATAAATATTTCAAATTTGTGTTATTTTTATCAACCATATTTATTATAATTTAAACAATCTAAAATGTACCTCAAATAAACTAATTATACAATAGTTATGATATTAATTTAATAATTCTTGATTGTTTAATTATATAGAGTATAAGTTAATAATTATATTCTATTATTTTTATTATTTAAAGTACAACATTAATCCTGTAAAGTATATTGCATGAAGTATTTCTACTAATTATCTGATCATCTGTTATCATCCATTTATTAAAATACTTTATTAACCACCTCTGTTTTAAACTTTGAAATTTAATAAATTGTATAACACTTAGAAATTAAGAATAACGCAATGAATTGGATGACTAATCTTGACATTCTTAAATTTTGATTTAGTTATTCAAATTTTAATATTAGTTATATACATTTGTATTCTATTTAAATAAAATATATAGTACAATATATATAGTATTTTTATTAATAATAAATAATCGTGATGAAATCACTGTTGTGAAAATGCATTTAGTAAAATTAATGGGTAACATCCATAATATGACTTAGTTACTCCACTAGTTAATTTATAAGCTAATGCCGATGTAATATGTTATATTATGGATTTTAAAAAATAAAAATGAAACAGTTATGTGAAAAATTTGTATCCATCATAATAAAATTAACTTTTTACGTACATTTAGATGAACAAATTATTCAGTAAAATTCTTTAGGGCCTTAAAATAGTATAAAAATTTATTCCATTTGGTCATATATTCTGTATAGATATCACATTTAAATAGGACTTAATTATTTTTGCAAGTGGATCACAAGTAATCAGAAACAACTTGTTTAGAATTTTAAGGTGTTATGATGGGTTTTATATTAAAGGAATCTGTTGAAATTATCAATTATTATAGACTAACAAATTATGTCATTTGTTATTCTTAGTTATTATATTTTAAATTATTACTATTGAATTTTTACTTTTTTTAATTTTCAACTCTTAATATGTTACTGATAAAATACACTTCAAAAATAAAACTTTACTATTACATATTTTTATTCCATTTTATTTTAATTTCTTTGTATGTTAAACAAAATAATCTCTTTATATTAATTATTTTCTGATGTTTCCAAATCAGTATATTAAAACCATTTACTCTGATATAAATTGTCTATCATAATACATACTTAGTAATAATAATAAATAAATATTATACAATATATTTATAACTTTCACTTAATAATATCATATATATTATAAGTAAAAATTAGGTGGATCTATTATCTGTAATTGTTCATAAAATGTATTTCTATTCTCAATAAAAGTAATTTATATGAATAAGTTAATGAAAGTAATAAAATCAAAAACAAACTTTAATGTCCAGATTATTTATAATTATGACCAATAATTAAACAATTATGGAAATTAAAATTTTCTCCTACCTATATTCAATAACTTAAATCAAATTAATATAATATTTTATTTATATATATGACATCCCAGTTTAATTTGTTCATTATTTTAAAGAGTTAAAATACTTATATATATTTTTTAAATGTATACAGATTTCTAAAAAAATACAAAGATTATTTAAGATTTGCGTAACAAAATTATAGTTGATAATTATAAATATTTAATAAAGATAAGATAAATTATTGTACTTTTTGATCTATATAGTGTTTGATTATGACTAATCTTTTGAAGTTTGAGATTTTAGTAAGTCATAAGTCAGGCACAATCACAAAAAATATTTTGAGAGGAATGTAAGAAGGTGTCATAGGTATGTGCTAGATTAGATGTAGGGCTGATTAGGCTTTAGCCCCATCTAAGCCTTATAAATGGGTGGGTACTTGGTATTTAAAAAAGTAATAAGTAGTAATAACTAATTGGGTGTATAGCTGTAGAAAATTGATAACAAAATAAATCAAAATCATAGATATTTACATGGTTAAAGATATATTTACTGGTTGCTCATAAGCATAATTTTTTTTTTGTGTGTGTGATAGTGATGGTAGGAGGGTGAGTGGTCAGATTGAATTTAGCCATACCTGACTAAGAAATCTGTGCACAACTGTGTAGGTTGTACATTTTCATACTTAAATGACAAAAAGTTCATTGACAGAAACCACTTGTTTTATAAAAACAAACTTAATTATGAATTTAGTAAAATAATGTTCATCGTTAAATGTAGTAATCTGATGCAAACTGTTATTTTTTTGTCAATTATAACTAATTAGAGCTATTGGGTAATATGATTTAAAATTTAAATCACAAATGCATAATTACATAGGTATATATATAATGAAATACTATATTATATAATTATATAAACACTCGTTTGTTTTAAAAGTTACATATTATTATATAATTTATGTTATGTTATGCTAACAAGTTTAAAGTTCTTGTGTAATTCCGTAACTTTTTACATTAAATATTAATATGCATTACAACTTGAGTATACTTCGTAAATTCTTTAATTATTCTATACAAACTGCTTGTATGTAATTATACAGATACTTTATTACTGGTTACATTTTTTTTAATTATAGATTATATTTTGTTGTATTTATTCAGTAATGTATAAAACATATTCGTAAATTTATCATAATATTAACCAATCTTAAGTCCTTAAATGAATATTGTTATATATACGTATTTAAATTAGTCATTTTTTTAAATTATTTTACGTAATTTTATCTTTGGTTTTATAGTAAGTAATAATTAAATAATTTTTCAGCTCATCACAATCATAGTCACATATCAGACGACTATTATCAGCATTTAGATCATAATCATATATCTCATGAGCATACATTTCATACATATGGACACCATCATAGTCATTAAAACTTAAATTATTCAAATTAAATATTCTACTAATCTAAGCCATTAGTTAATTTTTTAATTTAACATTTGTAAAACTTAATTTAACTGTTAGTTTTTATCATAAATTAAGAAACTAAATACTTTATTTATTATACATAATATTAACCTTAAAAAACAAAACATTTTCCTATAATTAAAAAATAAAAATGTTTGTTTATTTTCATCAAATAAACTATCAATAAATGTTGATCCACGTATTTTTACGATATTGATAGAACTGAAAAAGATTTATCAAGAACATAGTTCAGAGTTTAAATGTATATAATTTAGTTTATTTTATATATTTACTTATAAATCATCATACCTTTAAATTTTGTGTATTTCGATGCCATTACAGATAAATGTTTAAAATATTTTACATAGTGATATATCAGACTAGGGATTTATAGTCTATAGGATCTTTCATATTTTCAACAATAATTCAAAATATAGCTAAGTAATATAGAAATTTGTTTCTTAGTATCTACCTACCTTATAAAAATTTAAAGCTATAATTTTTATTTTGTATATTTTGCATATTCAGCTCTTTTTTCCTTTTAAGTGCATACATAATTGTATTTTAAGTACATATTTTACATGAAAAAAATTTAAAAAAATATGTCGCATACATAATAGTTTATATGTATAATTCAATATTTAATATTAATTAACTAGAATTGAAAAAAATTGATTAAGATTTCTTAATCGCTATATTAATTTTATCATCTAATATGATAAATGAGAACAAGTATAAAATAATATTTATAATTATTAAATGTAGGTATACTTATTAGTTAATCACTCTATTTTCTATTTCATCTTGTAATGGATCTTACTGATATTTGGCCACCACCCAGAAGCATATGATGAAAAGGAAAATGTAAAATTTTCTTGGTATGGACTACCATCGTTTATTAAAGACAACCAGGATCAAGTTAAGCAATAGTCAAGAAAAACGTTCACAGCACAAGATAAAAATTAAAACGATAAATGAACACTGTTAGATCGAGAGTATGCTGTGCTCTTACAGGGCTTTTAACAAGCCACTGAGATGACAACCATAGAGTTAATCTTATCACCAATTTTTTTTAAACTTAAAATCTATATTTTATAATACAATCATATCGTATTTCCAAAACTCAAATATTCAAATGTTTAAGGAACAGTCAATTTTGAATTTACAATCTTGAAACTATAACCATTGTCCGTTTAATTTAAAATAAAATTTTAATTTTAAATCATGTCTTGTTATATTCAATATGTTCATTTGAACTAAGTTAAAACTAAAAAACCATTATTTCATACTCATATTCAGTTTATTTATAAAACTTTTCAATTTAAGATACAAAAATCAATTTTTTTTTTAATTGATTTAAAATATATACAATTAAATAGGCCATACATCATTAACATTTTATTACATCACTTAATATCATAATTATTTAGGAAAATCAAAACTCAAATTTTTAAATGTTTAAGAAATAGTCTTAAATTAACAACCTTAAAACTATAACTTTTACATTTAAAATAAAATTTAAATTTAAGATCATGTCCATTATTTCATATTCATTTTCAATATATTTATAAAAGTAAAATTTTCAATTTTATATACAATATTCAATTTTCTTTTAATTGGTATACATCATTTACTTTATATTACTACAGAAAGTACACATTAATTTATTGTAACACTTTTGATAATCCAAAAAACCTATAATTTATATTTATAGCATATTCATTAAAGATATACAAAATTCATATTTTAAAATGTTCGTAAAATAGTAATTTTTGATTTCACAACTTTGATACCTAACTATTAGCTTCAGACTTTAATTTTAACAATAAACAATATTTTGTTTTATCAAATATGTTTATTTATGATTTTATTTAGGCTAAAAATCTTTATTGTATAACCATATTAAAGTTAATTTATAAAATAAAAATTTATAATTTCATATAAAATATTATTTTTTCTGATGAGAAATATCTACTGGCACACCTTGGTGGTGAAACTCACT